GTTTTGTTCATAAACTTCGTTTCCTAAGTCAAGAAGAAAGTTGGGATCTCTTTTGTAGGAAACTGCTTGATGTTGGAGCAATGGTTCCAGAAATGGAAAGTCTAGCTAAGGATATGGTGGAAAAGTGTAGAGGCTTACCTCTTGCAATTGTTGTATTGAGCGGACTACTTTCGCATAAAAAGGGGCTAAACGAATGGCAAAAGGTGGAAGAACATTAAAGAAGATAAATTTATTGAAATATCTAACATACTATCATTAAGCTACAATGATTTGTCAACTGCGCTCAAGCAGTGTTTTCTCTACTTTGGTATTTTTCCAGAAGATCAAGTGCTTGAGGCTGATAACATAATACGGTTGTGGATGGAGGATGTCGCTGAAGGCTTCTTGAATGAGCTGATAAGACGAAGCTTGGTTCAAGTGGCTAAAACACTTTGGGAAAAAGTTACTGACTGTAGGGTTCATGATTTACTCCGTGATCTTGCGATACAAAAGGCATTGGAGGTAAACTTCTTTGACTTTTATGATCCAAGAAAGCACTCGATATCCTCCTTATGTATCAGACATGTCATTCATAGTGAAGGAGAAAGGTACCTCTCACTTGATCTTTCTAACTTGAAGTTGAGGTCAATTATGTTCTCTGATCCAGATTTTCATAATATGAGTCTTATGAAGTTCAGTAGTGTGTTCCAACATCTCTATGTGTTGTACTTGGATATGCGTGCTGTGTCTATAATACCTGATGCCATTGGAAGTTTGTACCACCTTAAGTTGCTAATATTGAGAGGTATCCGTGATGTTCCCTCTTCCATTGGCAACCTGAAGAATCTACAGACACTTGTTGTCAATGAGGGGGAATACTCTTGCGAACTACCCACCTGATAAATCTAAGACATTTAGTTGCTTCATATTCAAAACCTCTGAAACGTATAAGCAAACTCATTAGTTTGGAAGTTCTTAAAGACGTTCGTTGTGATCAGTGGAAAGATGTTGACCCTGTTGATTTAGTCAATCTTCGAGAATTAAGCATGCATCGAATTACCAAATCTTACTCCCTGAACAACATTAGCAGCTTGAAAAACCTTAGTAGTCTCAGATTGTTTTGTAAATTGGATAAATCATTCTCATCCCTTGAATTTCTTAGTTCTTGTCAAAAGGTCCAGAAATTGTTGTTAAAAGGGAGAATAGAGAAACTGCCTCTGTTTCCAAATTCCATCACTATGATGGTTCTTTGGAAGTCAAAACTCATGGAAGATTCGATGCCATGATTCGATGCCTACTTTGGGAATGTTGCCAAATCTAAGAGATCTCATATTAGAAGAGGCTTATAATGGAAAAGAAATAATGTGCCATTTAGCCACAAGTGCCATGCCTCTCATTAAAAGACTTGCTATCGGTCACTGTTCAAAGCTGAAGGAGATTCCAGAGAGAATGAAATATGTTGAAGAGAAATTAAATTGGGTGGATCTTTACAACCATATGCAAGGTTTTATTTGATAATAGAAACCTATTTGAATGTTTTTTGGTTTTTGAATGCTTGATTTGGGGGATTTTGTGATGATTTAATCATATATTATTATAAGTGGGAAGCTTCAAAGTGAAAAGTTGAATTACCATTTTGCCCTTTTACTAAATAAAAATTGGATTAATTATTTAATTAAATACAAATAATTTAGTTACATAATGGTAGAATTTAAGTCCTTAAGCCATTTAATAATTAAATTGTTATTTTCTTGATAAATGAGTACATTGATATTGTTTTAAATCATGATCATAATTCTCAATGGAAAATTTTGAAAAGTTATGATAGATAAAACAATGTATATATCATCATCATATCATTCATATATTATTATTATTATTATTATTATTATATTACTAAAAGTGAGAACAAAAAAAGTTGAAAGTTGAAATACCAAAATAACCTTATAAAGTTGAATTACTACAATAATACTATTAAGGGATCTACTATTAATCATATACCCCATCTTCCCCTTATTTCTAAATAAAAATGTTATAAAATATCTAATTTATTAAATATTAAATAATAATCTTATCATGTTGTTGTTGTTGTTATTATTATTATTATTATATACATTTAATGTCCTAATCTTATTACTAGACCAATTTGCAGGACTAACGCACCTTGAGTGTATTTAGACATTAAAGTTGAGATTCTATTAAATGATGGTTATGACTTCAGTTGTGAATTGGAATGGATTTTAACACATCTGTTTTTTTCCCCCTTATAAGCTAAAGAGTCTCATGTCCATTTGTGTTTAATAGACTTCTCAATTTCGTAAGTCATTATCAAATTAAATTGCTATATTAAAAAAAAGAAAAAAAAAGAGAGAACAGTTAATTTATGAAAATATTCTGTAAAGTTAAGTAGCATTTTTATCCATGATTAGAAAAAATAAATTTCATATTAAATGACTAAAAAAACATGTGAAGAAGAAGAAGAAACAAAAACTATTGTAATTCTCACGTAAAATGAAGTAACATTTTTGTCCATGATTAGAAAGCATAAACACCTAATTAAATTACTAACATATATGTGTAATGAAGGGGAAAAAACTGAAAACTGCTTAAATGCTCACCTATTTATTTACTCAAATAAAGGAGAAGACAGTTTCTCCACCAAATATAAAAATAAAAAATTGTTACTTTCAAGAAAGTTTTTTCATCTTCCTCTAATTACATGAACTAATTATAAAACACTATTAAATAAGTCTATTAACTCCCAAATATTAATAATATAATATTGAAAGTTTTGAAGGAGTCTTCACATATATTAATATATAAATATCTCTTAAGTTTCTATTCCCTTCCAACTGATTCATCATTTGCATTTCAATTTTCATTGTTCTTATTAAAGATCTCTATTTGTGCTTATGAGTTATGATCTTTTTCTCACTACAGTCTGCACAAGCTCTTCTTATTTAGTTAATTTCTTCTTCTCCACTAATTTTAGTTTCAGGTACTTAATTAACAAAGTATATTAATTGATAACTTAATGTTATCATATTTTTAGGTTTATGTCGCTATACTAATTAATATACAATTATCTCCCTTTTCTACTTTCTTACTTTTTAATGTACATGTGGTTGAGCCGAAGCAAATTTTATAAGATTTTTGTGTATTTGGATTGATCATGATGGGATTCAATATATGCGCATCAGTTTATTTCTTATTGTCTATTCAATGAGTATTTAAATTAAGGTGTTATATGTCACTAAAATATGTATCATGTTTGTAAGATTTTTTAGCCTTTAACTTATGAGTTGTTACTTTTTTTATATGTTTTGATTTTTATTTTATTGTACTGAAAAAGTGAAATAAAATATATATTATTTAACTATATCATTTGCAATATAAGATTTGTATTATGTACTTTGAGTTAAACGTGCAACGCACGTTCCGTAAAACTAGTTAACAGAAAAGGGGTTAAAAAAATATGATTGTCTTCACTAGTTTGGTCTAAAAATGCACTTATTGTTGTACTTAATAGGTCAAAAATGATATATTATTTCTGTTTTTTTTAAAACACATTCTTTTTCTAATAATGATTTTTTCATTGGAAAAATGTTTATCCTACTTCAATTTATAAAAAATATTAAGAAATAAAAATGTTTTCTATTTTATTAGAAAGTTTTTATCGTTATCTAAATAAAAATTAATGATGGGGTTACTATGAGGGCATATAATAAAAGAAGTTGAGAACTCGCTCAGTGTGCAACGAGAATAACAAAAAAAAAAACTTACAAATTCGCTTAGTGTAGAACGATATTTGGGGGAAAAAAATAGAGAGCAAATCACTCATAAGTAGCGAGAAAAAAGATAAAATAAAAGAGGAAAATTGCTCATAAGTTAGCGAGATGATCAATTTTTTTATTTCGTTAACGGTAGTTATAGCACCAACATATCTCGCTCCTTCTCTAGCGAAGTGTCCCTTTTTGATTAAACTAAAATTTGAATGGCCCTTTATGTATTTTGAAGGGAAAAAGTGATGTTTTTTTTAACTTTGGATTCGAAATTTAACCATCCAAACATAACCCATGAACGAGTTTTTATAACAACTTTAACAAAAAAAAAGAAGGAAGATAATATATACTACTCCCTCCGTTCACTTTTAATTGTCATGATTTCCTTTTTTAGAGTCAAACTATAATTTATACTTTCATATAAATTAGGACGAAGGGAACAATAATCACGTTGAGCAATCATGTTTGAAAATCGAAAATCAAATGATCGAAACTAAATAACAAAAACAATCAAATTGTAAAACAAATGCACAATAATCACTATAGAGTACCTGAAGCAACTAGTAAGGGTGGAGCTAGTTTTTCAGTTATTGATTCAGCTGAATTCAGTTGCTTTGATCTAAATCCTATATAATACATATAAATTGTTAATTTTAAAACCCAATAATTCTATATGAGTAGAAATCCAAATAATTCAATAATAATAATAACATTGCATGATCAGTATTATTAATCATCAATTGCTTTTAATGGATCTTTCTTTGTATGATGAATATTCCTCTCTTTGCAAGAATTATACCAAGCATTATGATTTATAATATCAAAGCAAAGAAATAGTAATGGTTTATTTGCCGGCAACATACATAATTTATAAAATATAAATTATGGAATACTTAATTTTCATTGGTGGAGAAATCAAAGGATGGATAAATCTATTTAAACAAAAAAGGACATTAAAGTACTAAACTCAATTATTTGTAACACAAATGTAATAGAAAATATATACATATATCTATGAGTTCAATTTTGAGAATTAGAGTGTTAACCACATTCCTAATTATAATTTTAGTCATGGGTTACTTTAATTATTTTGTGAGAAGTGAATTTCCAGAGTCTAAATTATTGGGTACCATACATGCAACGGTGAAATGTATGACAAAAATGGTCCATTTTCAGATAGTTTGTCTTATATATGTTCTTATAGAATTAAGTAATGAGACACCAAAACAAGGTTATGATTATTACATAACATCTCCTTATCCTAATGATGATGCTTTAGCTTATGGTCATGTTACTTGTGGTTCAAATGTACAATATTCAGATTGTGATACTTGTGTTAGGCTTGCAAGAGGATATTTGATGACTACTTGTGATGGTAGTATTGGAGGTCAACTCGAATTTGTTGAATATTGTTCTAGGGGTGTACATAGCCGGGTTGGTTCGGGTTTTTCAAATATCAAACCAAACCATTTGTATCGGATTTTTAAATTTATAAAACCAAACCAAACCAATAAAACTCGGGTTTTTCAACCTCGGGTTTTTTCGGTAAAGTATTCATACAAACATAAAATTTACTTGTACTTCAAATATTTATTTAGTCCTACTAAAATACAACTATCTAAGGTGTTTCTTAAAAAATAACACAAAATATGATATGATTAATGACACTAAAATATCCAACAAAAAAAATATACGTAATAATAAAATTGCGTAAAACAAATATTGCAAATTAACAAGTCATGGTGAAAATGATCATAATTTAAAAGTACTAAATCATGTTAAAATAAGTATTAGTTACATGACTAAATATTAAAGGAAATTAAAATTAGATTATGTATTTTAATTGTCTAAACCAACGTAAAACTAAAGAATAAATATTCAATATTATATATTGTCATTCTTAGTGTTGAATTGATTTTCTTTTTGCATTAGTATTAATTTGATTTTGATTTAACCTTTATTATAATTACCAACATCTGTGGACTATAATCTTTATTGAATCATTCAGAATTCTAAGTTTCAAACTTGAAATAATATATTAAAAGAGTATAAGAAATATTTAAAAATGATATCAAAGTAAATATTTTTATGTATAAAATAAAATTTTAAAATTATATA